GAAGAATATTAGAAATAGAGAAATAATAAGGAGGCATTGTCACGCGTAAGGCATCACAAAATCATGAGGCTGGGATCGAACTCTCTGAAAAGGTATCTCGAGAATTGAAGAGCTACAACTCTCAAGACACGGGCAGTTATCATAACTCTGAAGGCCGAGGTTCAAAGTGGTGCAAGATGTCGGAAGAAACTCAATGGCGAGTTCTTGTGAGTCGAACAATTGCACCGAATAGACATGGAAAAATGCCCGCGATCGCAAATCGGTCAAAGGGATTAATTCAAGCGTCTCAAAGATTGTCTGCCTCATTGCGGCGCCAATCGAGTCAGGTACGACGACAATGAAGAAGGGATCAGAAACTCGTGACACCTCAAGCAGTTCACAGCGATAGGCACAAAAACTCAGTGGAGCTCAACGTTCAGGACGAGGACATGTGCTCGTCGGTTGAGGTGGCAAGTGGCAGCGAACAGTGCAGCACAGAAGCCAGCATACGCTGCCCACTGCGCCTGCACCCCCCTCACTCATTGTAATAAAGGAATAGCGAGCGCGCGCGAGAGCACAAGGTTTTAAACTGCTTGCTACCTTACAACTACTATATGACGCGATGACATAAAGAGAGTAAACAAGGAGAGTGACAATTTAGACGCGACCGAACACCTGCCAATCTGAGTGCGAGTGAAATTTCAAGGCGATTCGGCGAAAAGGTGGTGAGCCACTGCCGAGAATCCCCACGCCGAAAGAGATACTATTGTGCCTCCAGCGGCCAGGACAATGGCATAATGAACGAAATCAGCAGTAAAAAAAAAATTCTTTTCATTCACACCAGAATAGGTCTAGACTAAGGCGCGGGAATTTTTGAGAATTTTCTCGGCTTGCCAACTCCGAAAATTTCACAAATTTGCCCGAAACGTTCACAGGATCCATACGATGATCTTGAAAGCGTTAAATTGTCTACGGAACTTCCTTTCCAAAGGTTGTCGAAAGTGTTGAGAATGTAGAAGCAAATTGCTCGATACGAACTTTATTTTGCTTTTACATTCCCAAGACTTTCGAAAATAATTTGAAAAAAATGTCCCAAGAAAATCTAAGGGTTCCTTGTTAATTTATAATCTCTCGAAACGCTCGGATGATTCTGCGAAAATCCCTGAGAAATTTTGGAATTCTCAGAAATTCCCTGGACCTTGATTAGGGAACAAAGCTTCTTCCCCACTCCCCAGTGAGGTAGGATCGGGAGGGTAATATTTACAACAAAGATGCTCAACGGAGACATCCCAGCTGGTTCTATACTAGTTGCCAAATTCCCTCCAAAAATGGAGCATCCTGAATGGAGGTGGGCGACCGGGAGGTCCGAGAATGGCAAAATTGAAACCCATAAGATCAACAGCTTTTTGAGGTGTGGAAATGGGAGGCAACTGAGAACTACTTGACTAGGAGTCCAAAATCAGAAATATTGAAATGAGGGATGGAATGGTGACAATAGAAGACTTCCAAAGTTACGAGTCATCGAATTGCTCCTACTTGATTGCAGGTGATTGGACGCATGATCGGCCTGCCGCCAAATTGCTGTCCTTGGCACAGCATCATTCGAAGTCGTTCCATCACAAGAATGCTGAGTTATGGGCAAAATATCCAATTTCAGATCGAAGCTAGCACTTACAGGGATACCCATGAAGACAACAGGGTCAACTTATGCAAACATGGCTGGCGGTAACCTACAGGTAATGGGAGCAAAGCACAAGGAATCTTTAGAAGACTTTCTAACGAGCTCTATTTTTTTGGTTGGTCTGTATCAGTGCACGGCAAAGAGAGTGGAGGGAGAGTGTCTTCGACAATAATGAGGACGAGGGAAAATGGGACAAAGAGATACGCAGATACCGTGAAGGGACTATGAGCTGAGGCGAACAGCGCTTAGGGCTAAATATTATTGTTTAAGTTCCCTTTCCGCTGCAGTGAAGACTCAAATAGCTCTCCATCCTGCACTAGCAACCCCAATTCATCATAATCGTAGAAAATTCGCGGAAAAAATCCACCTTTTCGAGTTCACCCTTTTCAAGGAGGGATGTAATTAAAATGCATTTTTTGTTTACATTCTGTATAACACGCTCACCGGGATATAAATAACAACTTTTAATGCTTCAACTATAGGTAACAGATGTAAGCGGAGATACAGTAGCGGCTAAGAGTTCGCGAATGGTTCGGAACGGGTTTCACGGGAATCACTTTATCCCATATTCCAGAAGAACCAGAAGCGCGTCGAGTGCAGAGCACACACCACAAAGTGACGACAGACTCCACAAAATGTTAGATGTTTTCTTCCAATGACATGATTATAGTTGTATATCTATCAGTTGTCACTAAGTACAACTATCATTTATCAACAAATATCAGCTATCACTATGAATCACTAGTCACCAGCTTTACTTGGAGCTGTCGTCACTTGTGGTGCATGGTCTGCACTCGACGTCCCTGGTTTTCTGAAATTATAGGGTATCTTCTCACTTGAGCATTTCGGATAAACTTGATGTGTAATAGCTATTGCGCTTGGAATTCATAAACCGTCGGGACCTAAAAATCACAGAACACATTTTTTCCGAATGGGGTTTGGGTCTCGTCTTTCATATGAAAAACGTGGTGCAAGGAAGGCCGTTGGGTCCTCCGAGGGCGACCTGTGGTTTTTGGTGTAATACCGTATCCCTTCATAAAAGTATTGTTTATTCCACTCTTTTATTTATCGACTCTTTTAATGAGCCAACAGCTTCCGGAAATGGCATAGCAATATCAATAACGGCTCTATGTCAAAGGCTGCCAATGTCAGTTACTGATAGCCGTGCAGTGTGCCCACTCTTTGTAGATGGAGTCTATCTTCCCTACCCAAGCGAGACATTACTGAAAAATTTAGATGTCATTGCTGGCTGGGCTCAGCTTTCTTGACATCGTATGGGTTCTTCTACTCTTTTATACCCTTCCGCACTCATTGTCAGTTCAGTGTATAAATAAATGAACAAAAATAAATAAATAAATAAATAAATAAATAAATAAATAGCTGGCTTCGCTATGCGCTCGGTCCTTTATTGCTTCCTGTGAGAAGAAGTAAAGATCGCAGTTGACCAGAAATGCCTGCTTTCGCTCTTGTCAAATTTCTTGCTTGACACTAACTTTGACGAGATTCGCAAGGCCACGGTGTGGTTTTGTTCAAGACAAAGAAACATGAACCCGCACCGCATGTGACCAATGGCCTAGCGCATGACACGTAATGACGCAAAGGAGGGATCACGTGGGAGAAAACGGGAAGAGTTTGAATGAGAAATTTTCGAGGTTGCACTTGGCAGACTCGAACTCGGGCCTAGCTTACCAGGAAGGTCTTTCAGGGCGTGACAAGCTTTTTGAAAACGGTCTTTTGCATGATATAGGGGCAGATGCGGGAACCACAGAACCATGTTTAATTTTTCCTGAACGGCCCTCTGAATACCAGAAAAGGAGGGTCCCTAGTTCGATTCCTCGTGGTGACAAATTTTTGCATTTCGAGTTGACGTTCCAAAATTCGCGCAAAATGGAGTTAGCATGAATAATTAGTACCATATTCATGATTAGGACCGTCAAAAAGACTTTGACTTAAAAATTGGTGAAAAAGGTGTGACACCACAGTGGGCTGCTTGGTGTCACACCTCTTACACCAATTTTTAAGTCAAAGTCTTTTTGTAAGGGTTACTGACGGTCCTAATCATGAATATGGTACTAATTATTCATGCTAACTCCATTTTGCGCGAATTTTGGAACGTCAACTCGAAATGCAAAAATTTGTCACCACGAGGAATCGAACTAGGGACCCCTTTTCTGGTATTCAGAGGGCCGTTCAGGAAAAATGAACCATGGTTCTGTGGTTCCCGCATCTGCCCCTATATCATGCAAAAGACCGTTTTCAAAAAGCTTGTCACGCCCTGAAAGACCTTCCTGGTCAGATCGTCACAAGGGCGGCGTTTCAAAAATTTTATAGCATAAATCAGGAGCTCATCTTTTCTGCGGTTTCCAGGGGAAATATCGTGGATGTCTAAGAAAATGGGGAGCCTCTAAATTTCTACTTCTCGCTTCTTACGCTTCATGAAGTTTTCCGCAAAATCGTCACGAAACTATCGAAAACGACCCCTCTGCTATCGCCACGAACCCTGCAACGTCAGAGAGAACGACCCCCTTTCCATCTTTTGACTTTCACACCCTCCCACCCCAAATACGACCCCCCAAAACCTCAAATACGATCCTCCTCGCTGATAACTGCGCAACGACGGTTGGCTTTGCTTTTGAGTTGAAGGTGCTGTCTCCAGGGCTTTTGTGTAAACTCTTGCTGTGGCAACTGGTCTTAGAACCAAATACTATAAAAACAGCTAGTGGTGAGGGTGATAGTGCTGAGGGGATCGCACGGGGACCACATACGGTCCCCCTTATGCAATATTGCGTGGGCCTTAAATAATCGCCATAAACGTAGACTGAAGTTTGCTCAGGAAAAGAAATGACTTTTGGGAGACATAGGAGGGGTAAGACATTAGGAGAGGCGCTTATGGCTCAGGGGAGATATAAAACAGGGCATTCAAAAACCGCTGGCAGGTGACCCCGGGACTAAGTCCAGGAGTGCCACGGAGAACAAGGTAGCTCCCTGGATCCCTTCTCCTTCCTAAGGCTTAGTCCTAGTCTGTAAGTGGCTCGCTCACTCACTTCAATGTCTCCTTAATGACATGAGCGCCCATTATAAGATATGACGATGGGAAATGAGGGTCCACGAACTTAGACTTTTTTAACCTACCATTGTGAGTAATCACTGGATAAGAAATAAGTAATAAATAAGTAAACAAACAAACAACTAAATAAATAAGTAAATCAATAATAAATAAATAAATAACTTACTAAGTAATTACTCATTAGAATTAGTTCGAATTACAATTTTGTACGAGAGAAATCCTTTTTCATTCTTTGGACTCTGGGAAATTCTGCGTAGGAAAAAAGTTACTCACGAGTGTCGCATCTCAGACTGGCAATCCCGCCAACGGCTCGTTCAGACGATTGATATGCTAAAAAAATCTCCGTTAATATTTTGTCATTCTCTTATTACACATCCACTCGTATTGATAGATTCATCAAGCACCCAAAGACAAATTTACGGTAGCAGAATGTACTTGGCTTCAAAAAGATAAGATCGCAATCAAGCTATTCAGTTCGCTACACAGAAGGAAAAAAGGTCAATTTGTCAGGAATTCTGTAGAAATCCCTAAAAAACCGATGCATCTTTTTTAAAAAAACCCGCTACCCTGATAGAAGCACACATCTCCTTCTAAAATGACGGGTCCGATTCGCGTCCAAATAAACCCTCTACAACACCCTTCTCTCCCCCTCCCCCCCAAGAGCCAAACCCGACCCTTCTATCTCGCGCACCTGGGTAGGAGATGTCAGAGATGAGAGAGCGTAGAAACGAGCGAGACGCAGACGCTCATCATCTCAATTCCATGCGGAGTGGTCCCTCACGTTCAGGGTCAGCCTGTCGTTCATTTTTCCAAGAATTTCGCGAGCTCCATCCCCCTCCCTCCCTTGAGGGGTCTCCGATGCGACTTACCACCACCTACCATACCATCATTCTGAGGAGCGCTTTCCCAATATCCGACACCCCCTCGTCCATGCTTCGATCACCAATGGCTGTTTCTATAGCATTTGGTTCTGAGACTAATTGACACCCCTGTCTCCGCCCTCCTTCTTCCTCCTTCCTCCAAAAATAGTATCATGAGGAAGAAAATTCTCCAATTTTGTCTAGATTTCGTGAAAGTTTAGATAAACGCGAGAAAACCCGTCAGTGATCCCCAATTTTTACATCCGCCCGTTCCATACTTTTCCTCAAGTAGTTTACCTTGCTCAACTCCACGGCAAGATTGCGAGCCTCTCCGAAATCAATAACGTCGCCAAATCCGCGACCGGATGGTTGACCCTGCACCTCATGCTTCCCATCTCCGCCTGAGCCACTTTTGGCTCCCATTGACGATGATGTGCTTACCTATTGCGATTATTTCATTCGTAAGCGATGATTATAAGCCCAGGCCACCATCATGTGCTTTGCACAGTTCTTCACTTCTAGTGAGATTGTTTTGCTCTCTGACCTCAGACTTCTGTGATGAGCTGTGTTGTTTGCAATTTTTGCATAATCAAATCAATCAATCAAGTTTTTAAGAAGATGGATGAGGGATGGTACGTGGTGGTTCCACCAGCGCCTCAGCAGCAAAAGAAAGATCGTTTGGAGAGCTTGTGCAACGGGCAGCGGATTCTCAGTATACCATTCATTTCCGTTGGACGCAGAAATGAAGACCACCCCGAAGAAAAGACGGATGGCTTACGTTCTCTGGAACGAGAACTGGACCAAGAGAAGCGCTCCTCCTCAGTCACCTATCCACGGTTCATCGACAGCATCAGCCTCGATGGGAAGAGTTAGGTCTTAACTGACTTTTTGAGAAGGGCGAGAGGAGTAAGGGGGTAAGGGTGAGATGAGCCATAGCTTTTTTGAACACTGTGGAAAAGTAAGTTGTGAGAAAATTATCCCAAACATGCTGCCCAAACAGATGGTACACATGTTCCTCCCCCCCCCCCCCCCTACCCCACCCATTCGACGCCTTTTTGGAGTTTTGTAGGCGGGATTGGAAGTGTGTCACATAGTATCAATTCAACTACGTATTGAATGACACAATCACCCATTGGAAAGTGGTGGAAATGGGAAGGGAGTCGTAAGCAGGGCGAGAGGTTGAGGGAGCACCAAAATTTCTCCGATATCTGGCTTACACCCGTTATCGAGTGCGGCCACGAGACGATCCTGAAGCCAAATACTGCTCTTACTCCTGGCTCCAACTAACCTACCCCTTTGTGGAATTCTTGGTAAACTTGATCGGATTCAGTCGAGGATTTCACTCTATGCCCGTGCGCGTGGTAAGTGACACCACTGCAACGGAACTCTTTGCGCTCTTCTCAGGACAACCCTCAGGAACATCGCTTGCACAAAGAGCAGAACAATGTTTTCTGCTCGTCTGACGGAAATGCAAAGATTGATGGTGAGTTAAAACAGTCGTTTCTCGGTCATCCGCTATTTTTCTACAGGTCAAAGATTGCATGCTGTAAAAGTTGTCCTTATCATTATTGCCCTCCTGAAAAAAGTCCCATGGGAAATGCAACGAAAGGGATATTTAAGGTGATGACTTCGCATATTCGACTGGAGTTTGAGTTAGAAGGCCTATCCCATTAGGGGCGGAAGTGGTGTAGTGGCAAGTGGCGCGCTTACCACGCGAGCGGTCCGGGGATCAAATCCTGGGTCGTGAGTCGCCCGGGCCAACCAAGCCTTCCATCCCTCCGGGGTCGGTTAAAATGGAAGTAGAATGCGTGCCGCATCCCAAAAAGGGATTGATCAACGGCAAATGCTTTATCCTTTATCCTTTAGGATCAATGCTTATGTCCCATCCAGGAATCTAAACACTTCTCCCAAGCGGTGGGTTGATTGGTATGAGGCTTCTCTGAAAGGAAAAAAGGGCGCTTGTACTTACAAGGAAGGTCTTTCAGGGTGTGCCAAGCTTTTTCAAAACGGTCTTTTGCATGATATAGGGGCACATGCGGGAACCACAGAACCATGGTTAATTTTTCCTGAACGGCCCTCTGAATACCAGAAAAGGGGGTCCCTAGTCACACCTTTTTCACCAGTTTTTCAATCAAAGTCTATTTGTAAGGGTTACTGGTTTCCTAATCATGAATTTGGTACTAATTATTCATGCTAACTCCATTTTGCGCGCGAATATATGGAAACGTCAACACGAAATGCAAAAACTTGTCACCACGAGGAATCGAACTAGGGACCCTTTTCTGGTATTCAGAGAGCCGTTCAGGAAAAATGAACCATGCTTCTGTGGTCCCCATATGTGCCCCAATGTCATGCAAGAAACCATTTTGAAAAAGCTTGGCACACCCTGAACGACCTCCCTTGTTAGGGGCATCGTTTGCGGAGAGTTCAACCTACCCTGGAATCCAACTCCTAGTCCCCCT